TATGGCATCCCCATGCGAACATCGAGGCGTCCGTCGTGATCGTGACAGCTGGGGGTTCTGGGTGGAATGGAATGCCTCTGCAGACATGCTGGCAATTCATCCACCAGCTCAGGGAGTCCTTTACCGACTTTGGTATCAGCAAGCGCTTCGCAGCACTGTCCCGCATGGGATTGAAGTGGTCCAGAAACCATCTCTGGAGGGGACGGAAGCGGAGTCTCGCCAATGGTGTCACCATCACCGTGGAGGCCATATGCCCGAGGAGGACCTGAATCTGCTTCGCCGGGACCACTCGGGCTCGACGCACTTTGAGTGCTTCGGCTCGAAGAGCCCTGAATCTCTCTTCTGGAAGGAAAACTGACTGAGAGAGAGAATCGAACATGGTGCCGATGAACTTTATGTAAGTGGTGGGCTCGAGATGAGATTTCTCCTCGTTTAGCTGGAGGCCCAGGTCTTCGAGGAGGGAAAGCGTCCTTGCCACCTGCGTTCGCAGGAGGTCCGGGGAGCGTGCTGCCAACAACCAGTCGTCTAGGTATGGGAAAATGCGGATTTTTTCCCTTCTGAGGGCTGCTGCGACCACCGACATGCATTTGGTGAAAGTTCTCGATGCCTTCACGAGCCCGAACGGGAGCACGTTGAAGGCATACGTCTGTCCCACTACCCTGAAGGCCAGGAAGCGTCTGTGATGTTTTCTGACTGAGAGATGGAAGTAAGCGTCCCGGAGATCGACGGACGCGAAGAAGTCTCCGTATCTGAGGAGAGGAAGAATGGACGATACCGTCACCATCCGGAACTTTTGGGGTTCGATGAAGGAGTTTAAGTCTCTGAGATCGAGGATTGGACGGAGGGAGCCATCCGGCTTCGGGACAGTAAAGTACCTGGAGAAGAAGGCTCGATGGTTTTGAGAGTCCGGAAGAGGGGAAATTGCCCCTTTCAGAAGCAAGGTCTCGACCTCTGTCAGAATTGCCGAGGATGGTTCGGTATCAACAATCTGCCCTGTTGGTGGGAGCTCTTCGAACTCCAATGCATAGCCTTCGTCGACAATCTTTAAAACCCATGCATCTGAGGAGATATTTTCCCATGCAGGGAGAAAGTTTGTCAGGCGATCCCCGAATGGTGTCGATCAGGATGGAAGGATGAGGGCGGGTACCATTGGGAGGGACATGGGAACAACATCTGTAACGAAAGAGCAAACGGTATCGTCCATTAGGGCGTCAAATGCGGCGCCTGGCCTGATTGCCTCCAGAAGCTTGACGGGACCACGAACGCTGCTGCTGGTGCTGCCTCCTTTGCTGTTGGGGTTGTTGAGGGTGGGTTTGTTGGGAGGTATGCAGGGGACGGGCTGGTTGGCGGTACTGTATGGTGCGGTACGGGACCGTGTGTCGGCGTTTGTACTGGAACCATCTGGTCCTCTGCGCCTGGTTCTGATTCTCGAACCCACACTTAGAAGCCAAGGTCTTGAAGTCGTGATTTGACTTCAGTTTGTCGTCCGTTCCTGCATTGAATAGCCCCAGGGCATCGAACGGAAGGTCTTCGATCACCTGCCTCGACGATGTAGAGAGGCCAGAGGATCTAAGCCAGGCATGCCTCCTGATTGCCACGGCGTGAGCAATCATCTTGCCCGCAGTGTCCCTCGTGTGTTTGGCCATCTGCATCTGATGATGTGCCAGAGAGTTCGCCTCTTGAGCCAGGGTGGAGAGGGCAGTGCGATCCTCGTCAGACATTCTCTGGAACAAT